AAGAGTGGGTAAAGCTTTTTTTTTTTTTTTTTTTTTTTTTTTTTTCGGTTTCTTATATATATATGGCAACCAATTACTGGAAATAACTGTCTTGGTGTGAACATGAATCATCCCCATGGGTTAACGGTTGGTCCAGAAATTTCATTTGGGTGAATCCATGCACTGCGTGCTACGCATTGGATGCGATCAACCACTTCAATCATTTCTGAGCCTTTTTTTTTTTTTTTCTAGCCATTTTAGCTATTTTTAGACAATTTTTTTTTTTTTTCCCCAACTGCATGTAGCTCACAATAACGTCAGAAGACCCAGAATAAACATCATTCCTTGCAAGTTCCTGCCCTCGTTGAAGAAAATAATTTCAAAACTTGTTCACTTTACAATTTTAATTTTGCAGAAATGGGCATCCAAAAAATTCAAAAATGGAAATGTCTTGAATGTCAAGACAAGACCGCACACTCATAAGATTAATTCTGCTGACTGCGCTATTTACACGTGGAAAAAAAAATAAATAAATAAATAAAAAATAAATAAATTATCAAGCGGGAGGATATACACATTAATCTTTGTTTCATATGTAAGTGTTCCATTGAGGATTTCCCCTGGAGGGTTCATTTGGTACCACACCCCACCGTCCATTTATACACACAAATAACGGGACAGCACGTGTCTATTCCAGATGTGCAAACAAGTTAGACGCTAAGATAAACCCAGAGGGAGGGGGGGATGTAAGCATGGGGATTCTTACATAAGCGCGCCCATGCCTCTTTATACCTGTATATACCCACGCGGGGTAAGCATACCCTCATCCCCCACTTGACGCACGTTCAGTTGATGGGCCTAAACCCTAAACCCGTGAGTTACAACCAACTGTACGTAATTTTAACCCCACATAAACTCTTCCCCATCTGAGCATGTCCTCCCAATTGGGGGAAAAAAAAAAGGCAACACAGCTGCGTTCACAATTTTATAACTCTTCATTTCGTAGTCCCCTTAAGTCGGGGAAAAAAAAAAAAAAAAACTTCTAACATGTGTAATATATTTTGCGGAAAAAGTACACACTGGAATGGCTCCTCGTTGGTATATTTAACCAAATGGAGATGTAAAAAAAAAAAAAAAAAAAAAAAAAAAGGAAAATGGCGTTAGGCCCCCAACGTAGCTACATTAGACTAAAATTAACATCAACATGGAGCGACGCGGAAGAGGCAACTCGGTAGAATGAGGCTGCGCTTGGGAAGGGCTACGTCCCCCCCCGATGTTCCCGAAGACCCAGTATTAGCACCTTGTGCAACCACGGCAGTTACATTTGAAGGGCTCTACACGCTGCAAAAAATGCAGTTAGTGCCCGTGTACATCTTCGTTAAGCAATAACCAGGGTAGTAGTGCCCTTTGCAGGAGGCCCAGTTCTGGAGGCAGAATTGTGTGCACTCCTCTTGTCCCTTTCCGGCCTTTGCATAGCTCCTGGAGCAGCTGTGCGCTCCTTCTATTTCGCTCAAACTGTCGTACTTCACGAAGGTCTTGGTCACTTTGTTCCCCTTTACATATTTTAAAATGTGAGTAATTGGAATTTTGTTCTCGCCCGAGTTTTCCACGGGATTGAGGAGCACTGCATCCTCTACGACCTGGCTCTCCCCAACCTTTACGTTCAGCGGCGTCACGTTTGTGGGGGAGGCACTTGCACTCGTTTGTGACCCTACAGGGGCTACAATTCCTGCCTTGCCAGCGACAGACACATTTGCTTCGCTACCCTTTGCTCCGGGTTTATCCCCATTTTTAGCGTCCGTCGAGGTTGGCGTTTCTGTCTGTCCCTTTACTGCCGCCTGACCATCCACTACAGCATTTCCCCCTGTTGCTTCTCCCGCATTACCGCTTTCAGAAAGAGCGTACACTTCAGCCCCTTTGTCGTAATTATCATAGAAGAGGTTGTATAAGAAGTTCGGGAGGTACTTGGCGAAATAACTGTAGAAGGGCGGGTCTTCCTTCTTTGGAACTTCCACCATGCCCAAATCGATCTTAAACACAACTGCCGTGTGTATGAAGTTCCGTCTGCAGTATTGGTGACTATACATGTCGACCTTAAAATTACCTTCATCGCCCCAGTAGTATCCCCAGCTGTTTCTGATTAACCAGTAGGACCTCTTCTCACCATAAGGAGTGATGTAATCACCGTATCCAATAAGGTTAGCAGCATGATCTGCATCAAGTTTTCCACATATTAAGTGCACAGTTTTTCCATTAAAATCGTAATCGATAGTGTCTTCTGTTTTTATATAGATAATGACGGATCCTTTGTTTTGGATCTCTTTCTTGAGGATATCAACGAAGAGATCCATTTTGCCATCAAAGTTCCCGCTTTCGTAGGCCACATATCCAAGTGATTGCATGAATTCTCTGGGTCTCTTGTGATACAAGAGCTTGGTATGCCCCCATAGGTTGGTCCACTTATTCCTGTTACTGGGGCAGCTGTTTGCCGCGTCTTTGTAGCTGTATGGGAGATCCGACTCCAGTGGTAAAAATCCTGTATCGTTAACTATTTGAAGGAATTCTATTGGATTAGAACCCACGGTGCATATTTCTTCTGGATCTCTCTTCGAGCAGTTGGCCACAAAAAGAGCGGAGCTTCGGAAGTGTCCGTACCCTCTCATGCACCTGATCGTTTCTAAGTGCAATTTTGAGGCAAAGATCCAGCACAATCCACAATCCCCTTGTTCCTCCACCTCAATATTTGAAATACAACTCGTTTTATCCTTCCATCTGTCACAGTAATAATCGTTACAATATTTACTTTTTTTAAAATAAGGAGATTTAAATTTCATTTCGCTGGGAAGCTTATTTAAATCTATGACTCCATTTTTATCTTTTTCGAATGCCTCATCATCAAACACATTTTTTTCTTCTTCTATGTCTTTGAGGAGTTCTTCATGTAGGTACTCCTTTGTGTTTTCTTCACTGTGAGGGATACCATCAGGTAGAGTTAACCCTCTCTTATTAATAATCCATTTATCAATATCCTTCATACATATTGCTGGATTTCTTAATTTGTCCTGAAGTGTTACTATATTTTCTCCTTTATGCATTTGTAACAGTCTGGTCAAATTCTTATACGTTTCTACTTCGTTTGCTAATTTGTGATTCTTCAGGGTACCACTTGTATCCACCTCTTTCAGCAGTTGACAGTAGCTAGCTAATTCCTTCTTCAAATTTTCATCAACCTGCTCCATCGTGATGATTTCCTTTTTTTTGTAATCCTTGTCTGACTTGTACATTGCCTTTAGTATTACATCTATGGACTCGATTAGTTTGTGTTCCGTGGAGTTCACATCTTCCTCTTGAGCTTTAATTGTTGTATCTTTTTTGATTAACTCCTTTGCTTCCTTCGAGACGTACTCGAAGCACTCATTGTCTTCGGCCATTTTCTTCTCCAACAGGGTGCAGTGGTAGCAGTGTTCGATGTCCAGACTTCCCGTGAGGAAGCAATTCGTGGCTATCGCACTGCATTGGGCTGCGGGGGGAATGCGTGGGGTGGGATGGTTTTTGAGATGGATGAATGGACGAGGGGGCGCAGCGGGGGATGGAGTGCGCGCGTGCATGTTCATGCGTTGCAATTACAGAATATGATCATGGACGCACGCATCCTCTACTTTCCCTGCCGACTCACCTGGCATGCTGCTGCCGATATCGTAAAATTTGCTCTCAATTATTTTGGACTTGGTGTTGGCCGAATGCACCTGCACGGAAGTGAACGGCCTGTCCAGGGCAGGCAGTTTGTACTTTTTCACATCTTCCTTGTTGCCTACATAAGGGAGCAAAACAGAGCACGCAAAATGAGGGAAGGGAAGTCTGGAGAAGAAACGCGGTTATCACTTTCCCGATCAGTAAACCATGTGTTGTAAACAAAAAGAATGGAAGTGAATATCCCCCTTCGTTTGTCCACCTCGCCGCTTCCCTTTTTTTTTTGCCTGCTAACCTGGAGCTGCCCCTTCCCCAACCACCTGCCACTTGAGCGTCAGCATATTATCATCGGTATATACGACGAATTTGAAGTTGTTGTTGGATCCATTTTTGCAATCGTTCATCAGGTTCCCTACGTCTATTGAGCTTATCTGCCCAAAGTTCGGCTTCAGCTGTATTTTGTTTTCAGCCGCTTCCACATAAAGCCATAGATGTGGTGAGAGAAACACTCTAAAGTGTGCCTTACATGAACCCGTAATTTTTATACCATTATATTTTTTCAAAATGGCTGACGTTATCTGTACGTCTTGCTCTGAAGTGTCCACGGCCTCCATAGATGCTGCATGTGCAGATTCGGACTCGATGGCATTATATTTTGCGTCTGCACTTGTGTGAGACAGAGGTGTCTCGCCAACTGGGGGAGAGGAACTAATCCCATTTGCACTTGAACTGGAAGGCGAGTCTGCATCTTGGGAGGGACTCACTATGTGGAGTTTCTCCCCCACACCGGGCTTAGCTGGTCCATCCCCTGCACAACGCGTTACGTGTGTGCCCAGGGCCACACCTGCGAGCAATTAATCAAGCAAAAATATATATGTATATATATGAGTGTATGTGCACGTGTCTGTACATAATGAGAGTGTATGTTTTTGGGAGGGTAAATTTACAAGGCAACCATTTGAGCGCTCAGTGTGTCGTCCGCAACGCCCCAGCGGAGGGTCACACGCTCATGCTGACTCAAGACATTGCGCATCTCATTTTGTGCAATGGTTTAATTCCTCTTTTTTTTTTTTTTTTTTTTTTTTCTCCATTACATAATGTTAAAAGGAAGCAAATGCGAGAAACCATTTCGGCGTACTGCCTTCAAACTAGATTGGTTGACACTTTACATACACAGAAATGGATGCGCGGCTTGATTCTCCAGTTACACACTTGGCTTGACTTGTATGAAATATAACTGGTGTGTGTTCTTTCTCGGGGGGTAAAAAGGGTGTGTGCGCGCCTCTTGGTTCTTTCGTTCTGGTCTGGTTCCAAATATGAGAGCAATAATGTTGCAGTTTTGCTACTCGTATTTGGCTGCTATTATTTTTTTTTTTTTTTTTTTTTTCCCGGCTGTGTATATTGTTGGCTGTTCAAGTTCGGTTCGCCAAAAGAAACGCTCTGTAACTTTTTTTTTTTTTTTTTCCCCGGCTGTGTGTATTGTTGGCTGTTCAAGTTCGGTTCGCCAAAAGGAACGCTCTGTAACTTTTTTTTTTTTTTTTCCCCCGTGCACTAACGCTCTCACGAGTTCTAGGCCCGGCGGTGACGCTCTAATTAGGCAAGAAAAATTCTAATTGGTCGCCTCTCCCTCCCCAAAGGGGAAAATAGTTTACACCATTATATTAAGGCAGGATCGATCGAAGATGTCCTGTTCATCAGAATAAAGAGGTATGCTCGGCGGCACACTCCCTTGCAAAGTGTAATGCGCATATCTGCACACTACGGAGGGAGTGCAGGCCCAATTGGGGCTCTGTATTTTGTTTGACTTTTCCAATGTGTGCTTTCTCCCCATCGCCGGGGAAGCGGCACATCAAGTGGTGACTAATCTACATCGACCCCCTGAAAGGACACAAAAAAATGATCTCATTTTCTGTTTCCTCAGAAGGGCATTCCCTCTTTTTTCCCCTCGCTGAAGAGGAGACGACCGAAATGTGAGTGGGACTAAAGGCCACCCGGGAGGAAGTCCAACGCGCGGGTAAACGCTCCGAAAAAAAAGTTGAAACATCATTTTACGTTTACGAGCACGTAAGCGTGCACATATAACTAACTACGTTGTCTCTATGTGTTGTCAAAATGAAACGTCACGAAAGAGAAAAATTATTTTGAAGTGCGACAAAGGGGAAGAAGAAAAAAAAAAAAAAAATTATATAAGTATCCTTTCGAAGGAAAGCTAATTAAAGATACTCTTATGTTTACTAAAAAAAAAAAATCAGAAAAAAGGGGAAGCCGCGAAAAAAAAAAAGGGAAGCCCGCGAAAAAGGGGCGGGTTCACACTTTTGGAGCTGCGTTTGTGCAACCCTCACCTCAGACATAGCAGAAGTAGCAGTTGCCACCATTGTACAACTTGGACAAGCAATACCCAGGAGAGTAGTGATTCTTGCAGCTGTTCCAATTTTCCTCACAGAAGGTTTTGCATTCTTCCATCCTGTCTGGGTTCTTCGAATGAACCCTAGCGCAGCTGTGGTCATTTTGCGTCTCGCTTATATTATCATACTTTACCATTCCTCGCATAATTTTGGAGTTATCAATATGCTTGAGGATGTGTAGTATTTGAATTTTTTTTTCTGCGGATGAGCTGAGCTTGGGACTTTGTGGAGGTATGCCAGGAAGCCCCCCTTCATAATATTCTCCCCAAGATGCACCTTCAATAGCGTCGTCTCCATCTTGACCTGAAATTCTCCACCCATTCGGGCCCTTCTTCCACTTGTACCACCCATGGACATGGCGCTTGTTGTCTTTGTTTCGGTGCTTGTGGAAAATTTTCCTTGGCTTATCTGCTTCATCATCGTAGTTGTTAAAGTAGAGACTGTGAAAAAAGTCCGAGCTGTGTTTCGGGAAGTAGGTACGATTGATGTTCACATCTTTATTGGGCAAATCAATAGCACCCAAGTTGACTTTAAAAACGATGGCGGTGTGAATGAAGTTATATTTGCATCCCTTTGGTCCAAGCATATCTACTTTGAAGGTTCCTTCATTACCCCAGTAGTATCCCCAGCTGTTTCTAATCAACCAGTAGGACCTCTTCTCCCCAGTAACACTGATATAATTTCCGTACCCAATAATATTAGCAGCATGGTCAGGTACTCTATGACCACACATGTTATGCACTCCTTTGCCATTAAAATCGTATCCAATTTCATCCTTAGTTTTTATATAAATAATTACAGAGCCTTTATTTTGCACCTCTCGTTTTACCAAGTCTATGAACACGTGCATATTATCTTTGAAGTGCCGAGTTTCATAAGAAATTAATCCTTTGTACATCATAAAATGGCCATACAATTTGTTAGAGAGTAATTTGGTATTGCCCCATAGGTTGACCCAATTTTCTTTAATCTTAGGACATTGGTTAATGACGTGTTTGTGCAGATAAGGGTGGTCGCTTTCAAGGGGAAGGAATCCTGTGTCACGGACAATTTGAAGAAATTCTATTGGGTTGGATCCCACTTCACAAACATCTTTTCGGTTCCTTTTGGAGCAGTTGGCCACAAACAGAGCCGAGCTTCGGAAGTGTCCATACCCTCTCATGCACCTAATAGTTTCCAAGTGCAATTTCGATGAGAACACCCAGCAGACACCACAGTTGCCTTGTTCTTCCACCTCAATATTTGAAATACAACTCGTTTTATCCTTCCATCTGTCACAATATTCGTAATTGCAGTACTTGCTATTTTTAAAATAAGGCGACCTTAATTTTAATTCCTTTCCTGCTTTGACCAAATCTATGGTGCCATCTTCATCCTTTCTGTACATGTCCTGATTGAACAATTCACTTTGCTTTACATGTTTTTCGTCCCCATCCTCGTCCACTTGGGCAGACTTTTCTTCAAGCGAAGACTTTTCCTCTCCCCCTTCTGGAAGAACTAACCCTCGTTTGTTTTCAACCCATTCATCAACATTCTTCAAGCATATTGCAGTGTTGCGTAATTTATCCTGCAACGTGATAATGTTTTCCTTGGGGTGCATACTCAGTAGTCTAATCATGTTATTAAATATATCGACCTCGTTTCCCAATTCAAAATTATCTAAAGTACCCTTCACGTCCATTTCTTTTAACAGTTTACAATAATTTAAGAGTTCTGCCTTCAACACATCATCCAGGTCATCCATGCTGATTAGAACTTTTTTTTTTTTGATCCTATCAACTTTGTAAATGTTCTTTAGGATGATATCGATGGCTTCGATCAGTTCGTACTCTTTAGGGTTCACGTCATCTTGTCCCTTCACCTTGGCGTTGTTATGCTGGTCTTGTAAGTCCTTGGACACGTACTTGAAGCACTCGCCGGAGGTCTGGTCGGCGCTCTGAACCAGCAGCGTGCATTGGTAGCACTTGTCGATGTTTATATTTCCGTTTAGGAAGCAGTCCGTGGCGATGGCGTTGCACTTGTCTGCGCGGGGTGGTTAGGTGGTGAGGTTAGGCGGTGTGGTTGAGCGGCGAGCATGCTCGCTGCGTATACGCGGTGTGGTTGAGCGGCGTGCATGGTCGCTGCGTATACGCGGTGTGGTTGAGCGGCCTGCATGGTCGCTGCGCACGGGGAACTTACCCGGAATGTCCGCGCCCAGGGCGTAGTTTTTACTCTCGATAATGCCTGCCTTCGCGTCCGCTGTGTACACCTGTATCGAGGTGAACGGGCGCTCCAGCTGCGGGATTTTGAATTTTCGCACGTCCGCCTTGGTGTTGGTCGCTGCAAAGGGGGTCAGGTAGAAGTAAAGATCGGTTGCGTGAGTGAAGTGCAACAGAGTGATGCACAGGAAAAAGGTGCAAAGGTGTGTGGAACGCGGTGTTGAGGAGCGAACAATCTTAAAAAGGGAGCATCCAAGTTAGCCTTCATTTTGTCTCTCTTTAAGGGCAACTGCTTCAAAGACACAGCCCCGATTAAGTTACCCGAGTCATCCTCCTCTGAAGATGGAAGCACGTTCCACTTGAGAGTCAAGATATTATCCTTCAAGTAGAGAATGAGTTTGAAATTCTTCCCCTCCTCACACTTATTCACGATGTCATCAGCGTATTCAAAATCTACCCTGGTGTTATCATCGAAGAGGGATTCTACTTGAATAATTGTATTTTTTGTTAAGGCATAGATTAGTATGTGGGGTACTAGGTACACTCTAAAGTAGGATCCGCAAGGACCTGTAACTTTGATCCCATTGTAGTTTTTTAATAAAGCTGATTCTACTTGCATTGGGCCATTAATGAGGTCATTGGATTGGGTTGTATTTCCTTCGAAAATTTGTACTGCTGTTTGGTTACTTTGTGCTATTACTTCACTGGCGGGTGGTGTCGTTGGTTGAAGCTCCGGTGAAGTAATATCTGTGTGCTCTTCTTTCTTGTCACTGGAGCTGCTGTCCTCTTCAGTATCATTATTGCTGGATGGGGGAGGAGAGGCATCCGTTGCCTCTTCCACTTTGTGTGAACTGCTTGCACTTTCATTTTTAGATCCCCCGCCTTCTAAATTGAGGGGCATATAAAACGATATAGTTGTAGTTGGAAAATCTGTCACATCATTTTTGGATCCATCACTTGGACAATTGTTTTTCGAAGGAGGGGACGAGTCACTATTCCCTCCACTTGTTCCTTTATCACTCCCCTGGGTTACATTGTCTACATTATTCGTTCCGCATATGGTCACATTTATATTAGTCAAAAAGGCTGCACAGATATAAAAAAAAAAAAAAAAATGGACGTGACGGTAGGGAAAAAAAAGGGGGGGTTAATTTTGGCTAGCCAAAAATGGCTATTTCACCACACATAGGCTTTCATTCATGAATACACCTCTCTGTGTACGATTATGTGACCCACGATATGTACTTGTCACACATCGAATTTTTATTTTGGTGAAATTTCTTCGCCACACAACTTTGAATAAGGTCAAACTACATGTACAATATACAAGTGACATCCAACCAACGTGTGTGTTTATAGCTTTTGAGCTTATTTCTCCTCCTTTTCCCCCTCCTCAAGTACCTATAATAAGAATGAGCGCCAAGGATCGTTTTATCATTTTGCTCGACTGCCAAGTTGCTCAGGTGTGATGTGTAGTTATTTGTGTTAAACCTTTTTTGTGTGGCCTTTTTTTTTTTTTTTTT